GACTCTTTCAGTGCCATAATTAAGAGTTATCAAAATAATAACCCAAACTATTTATGTTACAGCTGAAGTCTGGTGAACATTTAATAACAATACAAAGTAACATAACTGTTATTGAAAGTCTTCAAACAGCGTTCACCTTTGAACCAGTTCTCTTTTCAACGGCAGATTGAATCAAAAAGATTTGAGCTGTCTCGAGCTCAACCGAGGCCTGTGGTGGTGTTTTCATGTTTTCAGGGTGTAAACATGAAGTGTCACACATCCTGTGATTACCTCTGGCCTCGCTGAAATTCCTCTCTCAAACAGCCATCGTCTTCTCACTGGAAGTGAACGAGAGGTGATCGTGGGTCTGCAGTAAAGTATAAATAAGTCCCAGCTGACGGTTTACTGGACGGATTGTGTGGAAGGTTTGGTGACATGAGGGGCTTCTTATACAAAACAGAAGGAGGTCAGGAATGTCATTTTCCACTCGGACTTTGGTGCTGCAGTCCAGGACGTAAGCACAAGACAAACCCTCTACTTTATCAGTGGACCCCCCCCCCCCCCCCCCAAAAAAAAAAAAACCCACAAATTTTCTATGTGAAGCTAAATAAGTGATGAGTGTGAGTAAGACACAGAGAGACCAAATTTACAGAAGGGCAAACTAAATGAACTCAAAGAACAAAAGGGGTTTCAGAACAGCGCCATGCTGAGGCTTTCTACAAAGGTTCAGGCTATAACATGAAATGAAATCTGAAAAAAAACTACAAGGTGAAGCTGACTAGACTCTTCTCCTCTGTCGCCCCCTGGTGGTGGAATGAACTTCCAAACTCCATGTGATCTGCAGAGTCCCTCTGCACCTTTAAGAAAAAGCTAAAGAGCCAGCTCTTTCATGAATACCTACTAACTTAATGATGATGGTCTCCATATTATTGATGATGATGATGGTAATGACGATGGTTTCTGTTTGATAACGACGACTTATAAGATGGTTTCTATACTGATTAGAGCTCTCAAGAACTGCCCTCAATGTTGTGCTTTGCCTCTGGTCACTTCCTGTCAGCACCTGTGTGTCCAATCAGACTCAAAGCTGATCGTTTGCTCTTACTGACATTGTTCCCTTTTTTCTAGATCCTTGCTTGTGTTGTTCTTACTCTCTGATGTACGTCGCTTTGGAGAAAAGTGTCTGATAAGTGAATTGTAGAATTGTAGAATTGCAAACAGGTCAACTTGAGTTGTATCATTTAGTAAGACTGTTTTCATGTGTTTGTAAAAGGATAACATTTAAACATTTCATATAAATCAGAAACATAGAGCGCTACTTTAGAAGTGAAAGTGCTTTTGAGATAGACATCTTCTGATACTCCAAACAGCAACACTTCATCCACTAATTATTTTAACCTTTTAACAAAGACAAAACTCCCTGAAAACTAAAACAGGTCACCTGCTCACATGATGTTGTTGATTGAAGTCTTCGGGCACAGCTCTAACCACTCGCCCTCGTCTTTTGTGAATTGTCTCACAGGTAGGAAGAGGAAGTGGTTCAAAGTGGATGAAGCCATCAGAGTGCTGCAGAGCCACAAGCCTGACCACGCAGAGTACATACGCACACTCATGAACACCTCTAATCCCAACTGCAGTCCTGTGTACAACTCGACCAACGGTAACACCCCGAGCGCCCACGTCTCAGACAACAACACACCTCACTACGTCGTCTGCTCCAGCGGCTCAGATTTAGTCAACAGATAGGAGGACCACGACCGGCAGCGAGCAGTTCCTCTGAGAAGACATGAATACAGACGTTAAGAGACTAACACAGCCTCTTAACATGGACAGTATGGACTTCTATGAAAATGATTTGTTTCCATTTTCAAGTGGGCTTGAAGAGTGCCAAAATGTTTTCTGGGTATATTTAAGATTTTTTTATGTTGTTGTTTTTTTTTTCTTTCTTAACAAACATCACCAGCTAACATCAGAAAGAAGGATTTCTTTGTGCTGCTTATGAAACGTAAAGTTTCCTTTTACTCGAATAACAATGCAACATGTTTTGTGGTATCCTGGATGCCGGCGGCGGCGGCAAGAGGTTTTGCTTTTAGAGGAAGTAATTTCCCAACAGTGAGTCAATAATGCCAAACAAGGCCCCGTCGGTGAGTCATTTTGAAAAAGGAGTGCGACATTTTGTGAATTGTTTCAACTCTTTTTGGGAGTAAAACTGATGTCGGCTCCCTGTGTTTGTCTAAAGACAGCTGAGGCCAAAGTCTTTAGATGAAACAATCAATACTAGACCACCTGGAATTCAAGCCTTAAGAGTAAACAGAGTGTGATTGCCAATCACTGATAAAATGTGACATAAGGATTTCTCAAATATCTGCATACCAGCCTCAAACAATGAAATGGAGATTTACATAGTCCTTCCTAATTATTTGTAAATTTGTGTCAGTAGAACAGTAAGCTCACAAACCTGGTCAATGTGACAGAGCAATGCAGTATTCAACACCATGAACACACAGGCTGTGTCATATCAAGGACGTGCCATAACTCCTGAAAACACTGACGTATGAAGTGCATTTGAAATATTAAGACCTCTCAGTGTCTGTGAAAACAAAGACCTTTGTTTTAAGTGGAGAGATATGATGTGTTGAAGAGTGTTTCTTTTTAGTGCCTTTTATAAACACAACAGTAGAGTTTTGGTACTTTATAGACACACTGCACCTGATTAGAGGAAATGTGGAAATCTTATCAAAATTCAATGTACAGTATTTATAATGCATCGACTGAATTTAGTTGTCTGGGGGGAGAAATACCCCCTCCCATAATTAGTAAAAGACTAATTCAATCAGGAGAGACTTAATTGAGAATGAACAATTATTTATTCAACAATAAATGTGCAACAATTTAGATTTGAATGTGCCAAGTCTTTGGGGGATTAGACTCCATCATGACGACTTCATGTACTCTGAGGGGTAATGAGGCCGACAGCAGGATAGGAGACCCCCCTATGGAGTCTAGACCCTGGTGGTGATGAAGAGGAATGGAGGCTATGATGATCCTGGATCTGGACTCTGCTGAGCTGGGATGGAGGTGACTGGGGGGGCGGTGGTGGGTTGCAGCGGTTGCCCTGAAATGACAGAATGACTGTGGAAGAGAGAGAGAACTGTTTTAACATTTTGGTTGAGAGAGGTTGTGCCTGAATCTGGTTGGTTAATTTCTTAAAGAATAAACGCCCATTATCAGCTGATCACCAGAGCAGGTCGACGGAGGAAGTAGTTTAGGTTGAAGTGAAAGGATGAATGAATCTGTGAAAGAATATAACCAGTCTGAACTTAAGCTGAGCTTCATGACAAGAAGTCACGGTCAGTGTGTCTGGAATTTCTTATGAACATCCAAGAAAGGAACAAAATGAAGTGATCAGTTCTGTGTATTGACATGGAAAATATTAACATATAATCTTTTATTTTTTTTAGGCTATTTGTGCATGTGTGATTGGAATATTCTGCTGTTCACCATCATACTGTAAATCAGGGATGGGCAACTTTGGTCACGGCACGGGCCACATTCAATTAATTCTCCCTGCCAAAGGGCCAAATTGTACAATACAAAAACGATCAATTATGAATCAATTATAAAAGAAAATCAATTATGTCTCAGATTTAACTCAACATATGCCAGTGATCAAATACTATTATGGACGTATTTCTGGTTTTCATGATTTCATGGTAGATTTTGTCACATTTTCTTCATGTTTCCAATTCATTGATATGTAAAAATTGACCTGAGGGCCACATTGAGGGTTGATGGGGGCTGCATGTGGTCCCCGGGCCGCCAGTTGCCCACCCCTGCTGTAAATAAAACATCAAAATAAAAATAAAAAACATTCATGCCCATTTTTTTTTTTTTTTACCACGATAAAAAAAACATTGCAGCAGTAGACTGCCCTACAAAGGAAAAAGGCAGTTACTTCAATTTGTTCAAAAATGAGTTTTTGTCATTTTTGGAACATTACAGATGTGCTTTATTATGTGGACAAATATCTTGAGTCAATTGTGTTGTTTTTTTTGAGAAAATAGTAGGTTGTATTTGCCTTAACTTCCAAAAGCCCTCGAGAAGCCAAGGCAGAGTCCAGTAACTTCACTCATCAGGGTCTTTGTTCTGCAGCGTTCAGGAAAGCTCAAACTGAGTTAAGGTCTTCTGTCTTTGTTTTACTGCGGATCAAAGTGAAGTTACTGTTTTACTGCAGTGGAGTTAAAGTGTTATGCCTTTGTTTTAATATCTGTCATCAAGCACTTCTGACACACACAGTAGCTTGACTAAAGTGCAGCAAAGAAAGAGTGTTGGTTGTGTTATTTTAACAATGGAACCAAGTGAAATACAGCCAAATGGAAGTTAACGCCTTTTGCCTTGGCATGACCCGTTATTATTATACAGGCAATGCAAAGGCAGAGTACATTAACTTCCAAATAAGGGTCAAAGGTCATATTTGAGCTAAAGAGTTTTATGAACATTAATAACCTGATTAAAAAGACAAAGAATTGCCACATTTCCAACATTCTGCCTGCAACTCATTTGGCTGGACAACAAAAAGACTTTAAAGTCATTTTTCTCAGTTCTACACTGAGTTAAGGTCTTTTGCCTTCGTAGGGCAGCAGAGCATGTGAATGATTTTGTTTTGTATAATATTATTATTATTATTATAGGATAGGATCATACTTTATTGATCCCCAGAGGGGAAATTCAGGCGTTACAGCAGCACAGACAAGAACGCTCAAAAATACACATTAAACAGAATAGATTAGATAAATAAAATAAAATAAAAAAATAAAATAAAATAAAATAAAAATAAAAATAAAAATAAAAATAAAAACAGTATTTACAGAGAATGACAAGATAAAGTGATTAAAGTGACTCGGTTTGATAAATAGTAGAAAGTAATGTAAACAGCAGAGAGCAGAGGCAGTGTTGTACCACAGTAATGCAGAGATTATTGTATTGTTATATTGTTATTATTGTATAATATAGTATAATTTCTTCTTAAATTCAAGCCGTGTGTCCTGCTTCAACGTCCCCTGCATGACCCCGCCCATCCGCCGCCGCCGCCTCAGCCTGGTCAGGTGTTCCTCTCAGAGACACAAACTTGGCTTTTACAAACAAACTGATTTGATTTTCTGAGCGGACAAACAAACAGACACACGCCGGGCCATGCTGAGAAGAATACTTCAAATGGTGAGCTTTGTTATCCTGCAGAGTCAGCCCGTGTTTGTCTTTTGTTTTACTTAAATCGTTTTCCTCTGGAGCTACAGGCCTTTTCTCTGTGGAGACGCTCCTTTTAAAACACGGCGTGTCCCGCTTTGAAGGTTCTGTCTGATAGCTAACGGGGTTTCCGTGATTAGAGACTTAACCCCGCCCCCCCGCCTCCACTCTGTTCACATATCAAGCGCCCGCTGTGTGAGGTTGACACAGCTAGCTTCTAAATGCTAAGTTGATTGATGCTAGTGTTGACATGGATGTAGCTACCTAACACAGTGCCTGTCTGTATAATGTAGAGGCAGACTAACTGGTCTGTAAATCTGCACACCTTGCCGGGGTCAGCTGAGTGATGAGCTCACCTGGCTGAACGCGGAACCTCTTGTTTTGACGGGTAGCTAGCTCGGTTGTTGCAGTTTATTCATCGCCCAGTCATCACATGCTAACGATGCTAACGCTGTTAGCCTGTGGGTGACCGTTAGCAGGTGTTAGCTGACTGACCTGTGACGTCATCAACAGTCATGGACTTTAATCTGAGTTAATGACATCTAGTCGTTTGGATGAATCATGAAAAGCTTGTATAAAGGTAGCAAATTTGGTCAGCCACTAATTAGGACTACATTTCCCAGAGGGCATTTCCGCCCGATGACGTCATCATTGTGTACACTGAAGCCTCGGCCTGTTTAACAGGGAATCTGACCTCGTACTTTGCATTAGGTGGTTTATCAGACTGTTATTTTACTGAACACGTTTAGGAAGCAAAGTGAAATAACATGTTGTGTTAATAAATTAGTGTTGTTAACCAAATGTCACTGCTTTATAATTATCTATTTATTTATCAGTCACTGCACTTTAACCTTAACTGTCTATTTATTTATTTACTCATCCAGTTACTGCACAATAATAACTCTATACACTCTGTCACTGCACTGTAACTTCACTTATTTGCACTATATCTCTATAGTTGTTTAATTAATCAGTCACTGCACTATAATAAATGTATATATTCTATTTATTTATTATTATTATCATTCATTCACTGAACATCAACTGCTCTGGCCACTTTCTGCATATTTCTCTTTCATATCACCACAAATATATTTTTGTTGTTTTTGTAAACGCTGCTGTTGAAGATTGCTGCTAACAAAGTGTCGTTGTGTCCTTGTATACAATGATAATAACGATTCTATCTATCTATCTGATTTAATGAACATTAATCCTCCACATAATGACGTTTAGGAGCTGCTTAGGTTTGTAATATAAAACAACATAACCAAGACTACGATGAGAAACATGTTTTATTTCTGTATCATTGTGTTTGAGCTGCTCTGTCAAGTTATTGAAAAACACATTGAAGTTCTTGTGTATGCACAGGAACATTTCTTGGATGCAGCGTAGCCACACTTCTTTCTGTCTGCCACTTCTGAAATCATTTTTTTCATGAGAGCAGTTTTTCTTTATATTGTTTTATAAAAATAAGATTTATAGATAAGAGAAAAAACTGCCTGCTTTGTCAGGTGACAGTCCTGATCTCTTCCCTGTCTGTGTTTAATCTAATAAAGGATATTTACTTATTTTTGTGTTGTTATTAATTTTTGTTTTGGTGTAGTGTTTGTAGTACAGTGTAATATGTGTATTTTGTTGAACTGGGTCAAAGATTGTTCCATGATACTAATGAGTAGTATGCCTTCAAAGCTGTGTATTCACAGCCCTTAAAAACAGCTATAAGATGAGTCAGTCCAAAGTCCATGTTTGTGCCTCAGGCCAGAGGGCTGAGCTGATTTCAGGTGAACATTTTAGTTCTTGTTGTGAGTATGTATCTTACATCTTCCACCTGCAGTAATCTAAATGACAGGGTGTGTTTGTTTGTATAACCTCTGCCTGTCACCTGACCACATGATATGTTGAAGGGTGTGACTGGTCTCACATGCAGTAAGTGAAATACATGTGGTGTATTAGTGTTAAAAGTCAGCAGAAAACAGAGTTATAACTGGAAGTTCAAATAGCTTACGTTTCACTTTTACTGCACAGACGGTCGAACACTGACTAAGTGGTTAGAAACACTGCACATCAGACATGATGCACCATGGTGACCATAAAGCTCTCCTTATGTCCACGTCCAATCTTACAAACACAACATGTAGTCGTTATTATTGACAATATTTTTATTAAACAGGATGAAGTTAATTTTAAGGAGAAATGTTTTTTTTTATGTCTGAATATATTTACTACAATTTTAATGATTAAATAAAAATAGTCCTTTACATGATCACTCTCTTTCATTTCTTTTTTTTTGTGACTTTTTATTGTCATCATGTCTTAACATACAGTACACATATTTTATATTCAACATAAGGATGACAATATTTTACACTTTTATAAGTGGTGTGGTGTCAAAAAGGTCGTGTCCCCCCCAGTGATGTGGAAATACTAAAAAATAACACTTACAATACAGAAACATGTTTTACAGTTTGTTTAAAGTAACTTGGATCTGTGTTACATAAATTCATAAATGTTTCCCTCCATCAAGGTTTTCTTCTCTTTCTCTATGATATTTAACATCTTTAGGAAGGACAAAGAAACAAATTCTCTTCCATTTCTTGATGTTCGATGTCATTAAAGCGTCAAACATTCACTCTAATTCAAAGTCAAGAAAAAACGGATACTGTAATACATGCAGCACATACAAACTCTGCTTTGTGCAGCAGCTGTGGGGAACTGGTGTCACCAGCTACCAGATTATTGTTATTTAATGATACAAATATCTAAAATAAGCAGACGTTCACAGCATACCAAGGTCTTTCTCAAAAGAAGGGTTTTATTAGATGCATCCAGCACCAAAGACATTGTTTAGACGTACGAGCCAGGACTCTGCTGTCTCTCTTGATCCAACATCGATTAAGATGCAAACGATACAATGAAAGGTCTTGTGCATCAGAATCAGAGGTGCAAAACATGGAACCAACATCTATACAACTGTTACAAAATCTGCTCCCTTCCAGGCCTTAAGCATAAACTTTTTATTATTATTAATATTATAGTTTTTTGATAATTGATTCACTTGTTTCTATTTCTTTTCCTGCTCTTACCTTCTTATTGCTGTTCTCTTTTTATTTTCTTTTGTCTCTTTTAGTTTCTTACATCTTTTTAAATCTTTGGTTCCTCTTGGTCTCAGCTCGTGTTGTTGGGTTCTTGTGTTGCCAGGGTTCTTATGATGGTTCTTGTGATGGTTCTTGTGATGGTTCTTATGATGGTTCTTGTGATGGTTCTTGTGATGGTTCTTATGATGGTTCTTATGATGGTTCTAATGATGGTTCTTATGATGGTTCTTGTGATGGTTCTTGTGATGGTTCTTGTGATGGTTCTTGTGATGGTTCTTATGATGGTTCTTATGATGGTTCTTGTGATGGTTCTTATGATGGTTCTTATGATGGTTCTTATAATGGTTCTTGTGATGGTTCTTGTGATGGTTCTTATGATGGTTCTTATGATGGTTCTTGTGATGGTTCTTGTGATGGTTCTTATGATGGTTCTTATGATGGTTCTTATGATGGTTCTTGTGATGGTTCTTATGATGGTTCTTGTGATGGTTCTTGTGATGGTTCTTATGATGGTTCTTGTGATGGTTCTTATGATGGTTCTTATGATGGTTCTTGTGATGGTTCTTATGATGGTTCTTGTGATGGTTCTTGTGATGGTTCTTGTGATGGTTCTTGTGATGGTTTGATGGTTCTTGTGATGGTTCTTATGATGGTTCTTGTGATGGTTCTTGTGATGGTTCTTATGATGGTTCTTATGATGGTTCTTATGATGGTTCTTATGATGGTTCTTATGATGGTTCTTGTGATGGTTCTTATGATGGTTCTTGTGATGGTTCTTGTGATGGTTCTTATGATGGTTCTTATGATGGTTCTTATGATGGTTCTTGTGATGGTTCTTGTGATGGTTCTTATGATGGTTCTTGTGATGGTTCTTATGATGGTTCTTGTGATGGTTGGGTTATATATGTCTGTTGGGTATCGTGCACTTTGGGTTCTTTTCTGTTGAATTGTATTTAATTATTTTTAGTATTTTGCATTTGTTATGTTCTTGTTGTTGTTTATGTTCTTCTGTGTTTGGTTTAGTCTGTTCTTGTTTTTGCTGTTTGTCAAAGCACTTTGTAAACCTGTGTTTTATAAATAAAGTTATTATTATTATTATTATTAAGCACTTCTTATCAGATAATGAGGTAAACACACTTTTTGTAATATTCAACCTAATCCAGTGTTTGTCCTTCTCTCCAGACTCCTGGGAAGGGAGGCTCCCAGAACGCCGAGTCAGAGCAGCCGAGCACAGACCTGAACCATGACCAGACATCGGAGGTAATGTGTTGCCTTCTTCATTCTTAAAATCTTTCTTTTCTTTCCACTCTGCAAGCGGAGCCGCAGGTAAGTTATTTTCAAAGGATTGATTCTGATGGTGTGTTTCTGCGTCCAGGGCTTCATCTGCCCTCAGTGTATGAAGTCTCACAACTCTGCAGAGGAGCTCTTCAAGCACTATGAGCTGTTCCATGACACCGGCGACCTGCCCGCTCATGTGGCCCCGACTCGGTGAGACATTAAAGCGCTGCTGTCAGACGAGTCGTGATGAAGAGGTTCACTTTACAGAACTTGTGTTTTTATACTCTTTTAGGGAAGACCTTACAATGCTGCGGCAAGAGGTTCAGGACCTGCACGCTTCTCTCAAGGTATAGCTGTTTCACAAACCATCAGAGCGGTGTGGACTCCATGCTGACACTTACCTGACCTGTGTGTGTGTGTGTGTGTGTGTGTGTGTGTTCTAGGAAGAAAGATGGTTTTCTGGAGAGCTGAAGAAGGAGCTAGACAAAGTTCAGGGACACCTGAAGCAAGTAATTCTTTCAAGATATCTAACATGTTTGAGTCCATAGTTTGCTCTTCCTGCTTCTTAAGACATTGCTTACTGTTACTGTACATGTTTCTCTCTTTTCCTCGATTTCCACAGAATGACGGGCAGACGGTCTCAGACGATTCAGGTGTGGGTCTTTATATTTTAATATGCCTCCGCAAAAAGACAGCACCGGCTCCATCGATGACTTCTGATGTGTGGTGCTTCTTTTCTTTTTTTCACAGTCCTTGAAAGGAAGTTAAATGATGCGGAGACAGAAAAGTTCAACATCAAGCAGATGAAAGATCTGTATGAACAGAAGGCTGCCCAGCTGGCCACAGAGATAGTAGGTGAGTGTGGTGGGAGTGGACTGAGGACTTTGATTTTGAAGCTTCATTTTATAATCTTAAACTTTTTTTCGTTGCTGAAATTTGGCCTGGTGGTTAATAACACATTCTTCTTTTGTATAAAAAACTAAAAAACATATTTTCAATCAGTTAAACTGTATTGTATGATGTGATAAAGTGGTTGTTGTCGGTGTTTTTAAATGGACTCTTCTTCCATGTCTGAATCAGATTTAAAGTCCCGCTACGATGAGGAGAAAAGTCTGAGGGAGGCCGCTGACCAGAGGCTGGCCAAACTGACCGAGCAGCTCCAGAAAGAGAAGCAGGAGAACGAGAGACTCCAAACAGAACTGGTACAACACACACATACTTTCTCCTCTCACTCATCCTTTCACTTCTTTGTTCTTTTTTATTGACCCCTTCTTTTATGAAACATTATGGTTTAAAGTCTGAAAGGAAAACTGTTGAATCGTCACCATGAAATCTGTTTGGCTCTGAGCTTTTTTGGGGGAAAGGATCAAAGCAGATCTCAATAAGATAATACCCTCACTGTTGTCATAGAAACGTGAAACAGAACATCATCCAAATGCTAAAGTAAATGAAAAAGAGCCTGTTGAACAGTCTCACATCATGACAGATCCAACACAGCATCACAACAGCGTTCTCTTAGGTCATCTATTCTGGTTTTTTTGAGTCATCGTTTTATAACTCATGACTTTAACACTCGTCCCGCCCGCTCTGCCCCCTAGCTGCAGCGGCCGGGAGTGGAGGACGTGGAGGTGCTGCAGAAGGAGCTGGTGCAGGTCCAGACCCTGATGGACAGTATGACCCGTGAACGGGAGGACGAGTCAGAAAACCTCAAGAGACACTACGAGCAGCTGCAGGCTAATTACACTACCTCAGAGGTGAGCAGGAGAAACCCACAATGCTTCAGTACAGGTCTGCTGGTTCTCTGTACTCTTTTCCTGACAGGTACTCCACTCGGCTGCTACTCTTCCACCCTGAAATGTTCTCGTCACAAACACATGAACACACTCACTTGATCAGTTTACATGATGTTCTACAAGTTTGTCCTGTTGATGTGGAAATGTTGTCGAGGAGTTCTTTTTGTGTTGGCTCTCTTCCTGCTAACCACTACATGTTTTTGGCAAACGGTAAAATATCTACGCAACCAGTTTTGATGTGCTAGAGTTATGTACAGCTTGCTTTGTGCCTTATTAATGCCTGGTGAATAATTCAGCCCTTTTCCCTGCTTTTTTTAATCCCTTAAAAGAGGAGTGTTTATAGAACTCTGTCAGGCAGAATAATCCCTTGATGCAAATCTTACTTACTTGCACCATATTGTGCTTCCTGCAGCCACAGCAAGATGCTGATACATTTAAAGGTAGAGTCAGTAGCAATGTTCTTTGCAGCTTGTAAAAACATCATTCAAATCTGGGCTTCTCCTACTTGACTATTCGCCTCCAGAACATGCCGACTGCAGGACTAAGCGTGTACGTTTACTGCCTGTAGCTACACTGCAAGCTACCTGAGAATATTACATTTGTTGTAATGGATAATTTAGCAAGCTAGCACAAGTTAACCGCCAGTGTTTAGCGCCTGCCTGTCCAACAGGAAGCAGACCAACTCCACGTCCACAGGTGAAAGACAAAACAAGGTTCACCCTCGTTTTGGAACAAGCTTTATCCACTTGACAGTTTGCCTCACTTTGATTATATTTTCTCTTCTTTGCTGCTAGAATCAGAATCAGATTTATTGTCCAGGTATGTTTACACACACAAGGAATTTAACTTTGGTGAACTGTGCTCTCTTATGTACAGGTACAACATTAAATATCAACAATAAACAGAATAAGAAAAGACTAATATTTACATGACTAAATATGAAACAGTGCAGTGGTGAATAGTGCAAAAGATGCTGAAGTAACATGATGAGTAAAATGCAGTTATGTGACAGATGGGTCAATTAAGATGTCAATTACAGTATTTACATCAATAAGTGCGTAGATTATCATTTAAATTAAATAATATATATATATATATATATGTGTGAGATGTTTAGCGTTCATCAGAGAGACAGCCTGGGGGAGGAAACTGTTCTTCTTCTGTTCTACTACTTCCTTGTCTGTATTCACTCCCAAACTCACCTGTGCTCTGTCATTGGCTGGAGGAAATACACCGCCCTGAGTCAACCAGAACAAAACCACACCAAACATTAAATACAGAAAGAGGACTTAGCCACCACCACCACACTCCATGTATGGAGGCCCAGAAGTGATGACTGAGCAGCCTTACTTATGGATAGGTCTATATTTTATATTTCAGGAAAAGCTGCTGACTCTTACCTGTGATAAACAGATTGTTATTCTCTCCTCCCAGCAGAAGCTGCTTTGTGTTGTACATGAGTGTGATGCTGTAGTATTGTGACTTACCTCTGTCTGTGTCTCTTTCTCCCCCATCTTCTTCACACACTGTGTCCCTCTCCACTCTTTCTTCAAGATACGTAAACTGGAGGTAACAATGCTGTTTATTATAACCGGCCCCACATTTTTATTTTTCCTTTTCACATTTTGAGTTCCTCCAGGTTTCAAACCTTTCTTTTTTTTCCCACATGGCGTTCACTCTTAATGTTTTGTTGTGAGACAGAAATCTTTCTGTTACTTATTTATGTTGGGTATGTTTGACTTTTTTTCATTTCAGTCCTTCATAGTGATGCTTCAGGTCTTTGAATGTGTTCGCTTAACGGCTTACAAAATAGATATGAATGATTCTTTTTTCTATCTGTTGCAGATGACCATATCCCAACTAAAAGCCGAGCTGGAGAAGGGTCCGCAGGAAGCAGCCGTCTACACTCAACAGATCCACCAGCTGCAGAGCAATCTGAACAATCTGCAGCAGCAAAGCCAGGTGACACACACGACATCAGAAACAAACAAACCAAAAGTTATTAATAAAACTCTGAGGGTGTTGTGACAGTTTTGTAATTAAGTGCAGATTACTGAACACAAACATCTCTATTACACCATCTGCTGCATAGTATACAGCATTAAAAATCAACTTTCTGGGGCGCTTTCCATCTCTATCCACTGTCCTATCTCTCCATTAAAGGCCCAAAAAGCCCCAAATTGTTTTTAAAAAAATAAATAAAATCACGTTTCTATTACTTCCCTGATGTTAGCGATCCCTGCTAGCTACTTGTCTAATACAGAGTAAGCTATCTCCGTCTCTGTCCCCCTCTCTCTGTTGATTTTCAACGTATTGCTCTGCCCTCATCATCTGTCTTTGGTAACTTAGACACCTGGGGTGCGTTCGAATTGTCATTTTTTTCTGAGGAAGGTTCCTAACAGAGTGAAATGTGACACAGATCATGAAAGGGATAAAAGATAAGAGACATTTTTATCAGAGGATGTTTGATTCAACATATTTCATTCTCTTGTTTTGTGCTGCTGTACATTTGTATGTTTAAAACATTATATGTAGGTTATATCTTACATTAATGTAACAATTCATTTCATCCAATCATATTGATGTTGATTTCTGATTGGACAGGAAGCTCATGGTTTCACTTTTCTTACTTGTAGCCTGGTAGTCTATATTTCTTTAATTTCAATCCCAACCTCGTGGTGATCAGGATTATTTCACCGGTAAGAAGCACAGGGGAAAGTTTTTTTAGATGATCTTTTTGTAGTCCATTTTCTGAACATTGTAGTTTCAACACGGCAGACCCACGTCATTAACCTCCACCGGCCCGTCACATTTAATGACGTGGCCTAGTGGAAATGTGGTCGGATTGTCAGAGCAACGAGATCGCCTTTCCCTAAGTCCTTTATGAATTCTCCTAACATCTTTCCTTGACCTCATGACGTTTTCCCCGGGGTTAAGGTGAAGTGGTTAGTGAAGGAGACAGGAGAGACAATTCGAACGCACCCCTGGTTAAGAAAAAAAATGCAGCCCTATAATTACACCAGCAGGGGGCGAGTCAGTGCCAGCTCTGTCAGGTAGGCTGAAATACAATCACACTCCTTGGCAGCACAGGGATCCTTCCAGAGATTAAATCAATCCTACTCCCAAAAGGATACCCTGATGCTCATCTCATGAGTGAAGTAGACAAGATAAGATAAGATAATCCTTTATTTATCCCACAACGGGGGAAATTTACAGTGTTACAGCAGCCAAGAGCAAAGACTGCAAACAAAAAGTGAACACAGTTCACACACAATAAAAAAGAAAAATTAAGAATGTACTAAAAAATAGATGATACCACAATATAGATTTAAAAAAGATAGATAAAAAATGTAGTCAACACAGTGGATGAGGAAAATGGACAGACAGGTGAACAGGAACAGGGCTTTTATAGGTCTGTACCTCCAGGATTAGAGAGGAGAGATCTACATGGCACAAGAGAAGGACAGCAACAAGGTCACGAGGAGGCGAGGGATGAACAAACGAGGAGGTGAAATCACTGAAAACATCCACAGAGGGTTGTTAACATCGTCCAGCTGCTGTGGAGGTGCCCTGTCACACTCTCTAGTTAGCAGCTCACTCCTCCATTAACAACATTTTCTTCTTTATCACCTTGTTGCCAAGTGTACTGTCAGCTACAGGGCAAGTGCTGTGTGCACACACACACACACACACACACACACCGGTATTTGAAGTCAGCAGTTGTTAACCTCTCCTCTAGAAATGCCATACCTCGCTATACTCTTGACTCTGCACCGCCGACTGTTCTTTTCCATAACTCATGTCACATGAGGAGTGGGTGTTTGTGCCTTGTAACAGCTCCTGTCACGCTAACTGTCTTGATTTAGAAGAGACAAGTAGCTTATTAAAGAGAGCACCTTGAATATTTAAACAATCCCTGATAAAACAAACACACTCCATCCAAACGCTGTCCATCTTTATCCTTTTCATGAGACCCGATTTTCTCCAGATGTTTTCAAAAATACCTCTTTTCACTGACAATTTTCCACCCCATCATATCTGCCTCATCTTAACCTCTTGTCCTCTCTCACAGAGTCTTTCTGAGAAGCTCGCACGTAAGGAGAAAGAGCATCAGGAACTAGGGGAGCGTCTGGGAGCCGAGAAAGCCGCTAAGAAGGGAGCTCAGGGCAGCCTGAGGGAGAGGGAGCTGGAGGTTCAAGAGCTCCAGGCTCGAGCCTCAGGGGCCGAGGCGTCCCTGCAGAAGGCCCAGGCGGAGCTGAGGGAGAGGGCCGAGGAGGCGGCCAAGTTGAAGAGTGAGATCACGGAGCTGGAGGTGAAGCACGCAGAGCTGAAGGTGGAGAGAAAACAGTTGGAACAGCAGAGAGAAGAGAAGGAGAGCCAAGGTGCTCAGCAGCAGACTGAGATTGGACAGGTGAGCTGGGCGATCAAAGACACACACACACACACACACACACACACACACACACACACACACACACACACACACACACACACACACACACACACACACACACACACACACACACACACAGATAAACTGCAATCAGGACGACTTCAGAAATCACCTTCTTTTCTAGTTACACAAAAAACAACATGAAATGTTTTTAGATATTTAATGTGTCATCACATCGTTAACATTAGATGTTGATGACTTTTCATTTCATATTTGATTTATTTGCTCATTTCAGTGTCTGGTTTCAACACCATAAAACACAACAAAAAATATTTTCTCATAATCCTGAAACACTGTTCATGAGCAAACAGGAGCAGGAAGAAGAAATAATACCTGCCCCCCCTTTTCCTAATAACACAAGATAGTGTTTAACAGAATAAGATGGCTGACCTGTTGTTTTCTCTTTCTTTCACAAAACAAAAAATAGATCAACAATATAGAAACAATCAGTTAGATTAACTCAATATATTCATAATTTCCCAGAACTTTTTCTTTATACATTCTTTTAAATTGAGTGATAGTAACTTGAGCAGCATTATCGAGAGAATTCCATAATTTAACTCTCATTTGCTGAGATACACATTTGTTTTAATGTAGTGCATGCAAATGGACTTTTAAAATGAAATCTCCGTCTATGATCCTCCTCATTAGATGTAAACACAAACAACTTCTGTACATTTTCGGGTAATCTATTTCTAGCTTTAAACATGACTAAAAAGTGAACTAGATCCTGAAATTTCAACACGTGAGCTTATAAACAGTCTGTTCTCTAACGTTCACTTTCTTTATAAGTCTGATCGCTCTTTTCTGTAACACAAACAAACTTTAAAGTCATAGCATACTCATAATGTTTACATTCTCATCAGACTAGTTGATGGTTACTAAAACCTCACTGATGGCGACATAGACATAACCCTAACTGCAAAAATCAAGCAGTTGATGCTGTTTCTATCAAGACTAAAAGTGCATTATTTTATCTTACTCAGCACATCCTAACTCCAGGAAAGATGTTGTCTTTATCTGCAATTTTCAACTCTCTTTCCTGTACACGTCTTGTAGTGCATGTATCATGGACTGACATGAGTCATGGACTGTTCTAATGCTATTACATATTTATTACATCAAACTGGATGAATTCTCAAATTCTTAAGTGTTAAGTCATGATTTTTTACTATTTGTTGTTTACTAATAAAAGGTGCTCTTATTTATTGATTGTGAAATCAGGGACTTGATTGGTTCAAAGATTATTTTAGCATTCTGACACAAATAATCTGCACTGACCACCTCTGATGAATAAACTACAACACAGTGACATAGACAGAAATCCCCACTTATTGATGCTCACACAGGTCATTAAGTAATCTGTGTACATAACTTAGTCATAGAGAATTCAATGAATCCCCTTTCCTCATTCTGCTGCATGTCTTTCTGTTAGCTTTGTGCTCTGCCTCTTAATCATCATGCCCTCTCTCTCTCGTTCCCTCTCTCTCGCTCTCTCTCTCTTCTTAGCTGCACGCTAAGCTGCTGGAGGCTGAGAGGCAGCTGGGTGAGGTGCAGGGTCGACTTAAAGAACAGAGGCAGCTGTCCGGGGAGAAATTAAAGGATCGGGAGCAGCAAGCAGCTGACCTGCAGCTCAAACTGTCCCGAGCAGAGGAACAGGTAGGCATCGGATGTTTGATGTCAAACAGGGAAGCTATGGAGCAGATAGAATGTGTCAACAAATAAATAACTCAAATAATAAAGTTCATGTTCAAAAGAGATAAGTCACTGCTCCAGCTCATATCTATTCAATATTTGATTCCTGAAGTTTTAGTTTAAATATAGTGTTGCATTTGTTCAGCTCGTCATCACAGTTGTTCCACAGACTAACATCTTTAGTTGTTACACAGTGAAGCTTTGCATTCGTTCTGATTGGTGGTGACATGTTGCTATACGTTCTAAGTGTTGTTTTGGTTAAGTTCAGTCAGCAGGTTAAAGGATCAACAGATCAATTCAAAAGACGAGGAAAAATAACCAAGAGTTGATATAAAGATCAAAGATCACCCAAAGTCAAATCAAAACCAAAATGAGATGAAGAAGAAGACTGTGGTTTAAGGGTGATTAACATTACAATGGACACTCTTACAATGGAATAATAATGCATTAAGGTTTAATAATAATAAAGTGATCAGAAAAGAGATGAAAACAGTTCAAAAATGTTTTCTGTGTTTGTCTTCTTTAGATGAAGGAGGGCGTCAGTAAAAACACAGACCTGCAGCACCAGCTAGAGAAATCCAAGCAGCAGCACCAGGAGCTGCAGGCGCTGCAGCAAAACACCAACGGCAAACTCAGAGAGGCACAGGTACCAAAAAAACATTTCATTAAACAATATTATTTCAAAAACATGAAGACTTGAGTTTGACACTTATAGTTATAGATATAAAGCCTCTGCATGTGTTACAGCGGTGTGGCCAAACCTTACCCTTTGTAACCTTTGTACTTCCTCGCTTGCTTTCATGCGACAGAACGACCTGGAGCAGGTGCTGCGTCAGATCGGAGACAAGGACCAGAAGATTCAGAATCTGGAGGCTCTGCTACAAAAGAGTAAGGACATCGTGAGCCAGCTGGAAACGGAGAGAGACGACCTGTGTGCCAAGATCCAGGCCGGGGAGGGAGAGACGGCCGTGCTCAACCAGCTGAAAGAGAAGAACCATGCACTGCAAGAACAGGTCAGTGCACTCCATTTTCATTACAACCACAGCTGAGTAGAGAGGGATTTAGACTTCTCTTATTTATTCCATTCTCTAAATGTGTTGCTTTTTAAAGGTGACACATTTGACGGACAAGCTGAAGAACCAGTCGGAGAGCAACAAGCAGGCCCAGGATAACCTCCACGAGCAGGTCCAGGAACAGAAGACCCTGGTGCGTTCCGCTCAGGACCGAGCTACAACCCTGGAGACGTCGGTCACCGAGCTCACCACCCAGCTGGCCGACAGCAAGGAGAAAGTAGCCCAGCTGGATGCTCAGGTAAAGTCCCTTCACAAGCACATCACTGTGGATTATATTATATTATTTTGTTTCCTTTTATTTTCATAGACCTGGCTTATCAAAAACTTTACGTTGCCCTTAATCTATATTAAAAAGGAAATAATCTTTAGAAAAGGTAAAAGGGTAATGATGGATTTGAAGTGTCTAAAAATGTAAATTCTGTTTTTTTTGTTTTAGATTTTGAAAATGTCCAAAAAATCAGAGAATCGAAAAATACCAAGTGCTTTGAGTTTTCTGTTGTATCTTTCATCACAAGAAGAAGTACACTGATTTAATGAAAATGTATTGTATTAGGATAAGCCCCTTGAGGTGTATCACCTCGTTTTCAAGGGGGTCCCAAACATATATTTACAAAGACACAGGTACAACACAGCAATACAAAACCAAAGCACAACACAATACAGACGAAACAAACAAAGTCATACATACAGCAGAAAACAACAACAACAACAACAAAACACACAAAAAACAAAACAAAACAAGGAACAACACAGAGAACAGATGCTACAACCATTACAACAACAATTACAACTCTAGACTAGACGCCTTAGAGGAGAGAGATAAACAAACAGTGTTGACGCTACTGAAAACAAACACAATCAGGTTGAAGATGAGAAAACAAAACATGTTTAAATAAGTGGAACAGAGATTTAAAGGTAACTTATTCCAATCAGATTTACACAAGTCTTTATCCCTTTAAAAGAGGCTCAAGGAAAAAAGGGTCACGCAAAAAATATGAATGTAATATCATTTTTGTTTTGTGGTTTCTGTTTCCCCAACCAGCTGAAGGCAAAGACAGAGATGCTGCTGTCTGCAGAGGCAGCCAAAGCTGCACAGAAGGCTAACCTGGAGAACAACCTGGAGACAGCTCAGCATGCCTTACAGGACAAGCAGCAGGTCAGTCTTTGTGACACTGATGGTATCGTTTTGGCTCTAAAGCAGATCGTAACATAACACCTTCCTAACTTGCATGTGTCCTTATCCTGCTCCCTCGCTCCCTCCCTCCCTCCCTCATTGTCTTGCACAGGAGCTGAATAAAGCACAGAAAAAGGTGGAGGAGCACGTCCAGAGGCTCAAGGAGAGACAGGAGCAGTGCACACAGCTGGAGACGAGTGTGAAGGAGTGCAAAGACAAACTGATGGCTTCAGAGCAGAGAATAGAGCAGCTGGAGGGGCTCAATAAGGTTTGTGATGAGTCTATAAGTAGACCTAGAAATCCTGTTTCAGCACACCAACTTAATAATGGATCCTGTGCATCTAATCTGATAGAAACTGGAGTCACAGGTTGGGGAGCTGCAGGCCACAAGGGATCAGGTGCAGAAGGAAATGCAGAAGCTCCAGAAAGAGGGGTCGGAGGTCAAACGGAAAGCCAAGGAGCTGCAGCGCTCTCTGGAAACGGAGAAAGCAGGGTGAGATGCATTACTTTAATAAAATACAGACAACATTACAAACAGTAGGATGTACATGCATTTTGTTTTTTTGTTACATCTGTGTGATGTCAGTAGTTTCATTACTCCTTTCCGCTCATTTCAACACAATATGAATTTACTCTGTCAAAGGGCTGCAACAATACAAGAGGAGCTAAAGGCAAAAGCAGCAGCTCTGGGTGACATTCAGCAGCAGCTGGAGCACGGTGAGCAAGAAAAAGCTGCTCTGAAGGTGAATCTCGACAAGGTGACCGAGGAGGGGAAGACGAAGCATGCAGAGCTGGAGAGAAGAGCTCAGAGTCTGAAGGCGGACCTAGAGAAAGCACAGCAGGAGAAAGAGGCTCAGAGGAAGGAGCTCGCCTCGACGCAGGAGAGTCTAGCAAAGGCTAACAAGGCGCTGAAAGAGAGTCAGAGTCAAGTGGACGCAGAGAGGAAGAAGCATAAGTCAGCCATGGGAGAAAAGGTAGGTTTTGTAAGCTACAGTCAAAAGAAAGAGTTGAAAAAATTCAGCTTGTTTTCTTTTTATTTCTTTTTATTTGAAACAAAGAGGAATCAATGAAGTCCAGCCTACAACACCATGCACATTGATGTTTCTAATCTTCAGGAAAAGTCCAACGAAAAGGCCCTGCAGGAGCTTCTGAAGAGCCGTGAGACCATCACCAAGGCCATGACAGAATCCAAAGAGCAGTTGGAGCAGATGAAAGAGGTAAAATCAAAAAATGAAGAGTCACTACGTTGTTCAGGTTGCAACACCTTTCAAATCCTGTTTTTGTGTTTTATACATATCAGGCAGAGAAACAGTTGAAAGTGCATCTGACCACAGTGGAGCAGCGGCACTCAAAGACTCAGGAGGCGCTGAAGGAGAAAGAGAACGAGACGGAGACGCTGCGGGCACAACTGAAGACGACCCAGGGGTCCTTTGAGGAGGAGGTGAAGAAACTGAAGAGCAAAGTGGCAGAGTTAAAGGACGTTAATGTCAAGAAGGCAAGTAGCAAAAAAAACAAAAAACCACTACACTTAATCCTTATTCCACCTGCACAAAACTCCTTTTTCTGAAGATTTTGGGGGGGAGCTTCATGTGTGGACACAAGCAGACACATCTTTACAAACTGACTTCATCCAGAAGTGTTTATTGTGTAATTAATGTGTTTTTATTGGTGAAATAACACAACAGACTTGTGACATTCAAAACAAACAAGAATAACTGTGATCAAAAACACAAAGAAAAAAGGCTTTACTGTGACAAAGATAACGGAATATAAATACATATTTAAATCCTGCGACAGGACCCCAACGGTGAAATATTTGAATAAGCAACTCAGGGGAAGGCTGTCTGAAACTTTCAGGATATTTGAGCGCATTTCAGACTCAGACTCAGAATGGGTTTTTTATTGCCAAGTACATTTACACATACAAAGAATTTGTCTTGGTGTATATTATGTGAAAATGGCTTTAGACAGTTGATTTTAACTCTTATCTACAGCAGAGTTGTTGTGAAAGAATTTGTGTAATGGGAACATTAAAGGGACACTTCACCCATTAGCATTAATCTTTGGATCATTTGAAACCTGGTAGTATTTTTGAATGGTCGTGCATCCCGCCCTCATTTTCCCCTGAGATGGGAAACGTTAAGGGGCCTCTGCTGCCAAGACACAAGACCGGCCTGTCGGCAGCAACCGTCTCGGGGCTATATTGCCGCCGCCGGCCGCAGCCAGCTCAGCAGCCAAGACAGAAGGCCTGCCTGTCTGCGGCGGTGAGGACGAGGAGGCGGGGCCGGCTCGAGCTGGGGTGGACTGGTAGTGTCGGTGCTCTCACTGTTTGTCTATGGACTCAGACTTCTGGAAGAAATCTCTGAATCAGTTGAGGAAACTGACTTATGTGTTGAAGTAAATATGTCTGTAAATAGAGGAACTTAGTGGGAGTGGCCTGCGGTGCTGTGCATTCTGGGATTTGGTGTCTTTCATCCACATGAGCCAAAAAGACACTTTCTGCCTTTTCTCAGCCAAGAAGGCTCCAACTTCAAAATGTATTTCACATTTCTACATATATGACCCAAAGTCAACACAGATTCATGTTTCAACGGGTGAAGGATCTCTTTAAGATTTAAAGTTTGAGTGTGTTCACTGATGTGTTTGAATCTCCAGGCAGAAGAGGAGGGTAAGCTGAAGGAGCAGGTGTCACAAAGCCAGGAAAGCCTCGCTAAGCTTCAGTCCGACTTCTACGGCAAGGAGTCTGAAGTGTCCGCTCTGCGTCAAGACCTGAAGGTAGATTCATGCTGCATTATAAAAAGCTTCATTCAGGAAGAAGATATTAAAACTTGTCTCTTTACCCTCCTTACTGACTGACCTGAACCGTTTTCTGGCTGCAGGCTTCAGTGGAGAAGCTGAAGGTGGCTCAGGAGGAGCTGGCCGCTAACCGGACTCATCAGACCGGTTTGGAGGCTCAGATCCAGGAGCTTCAGACCGGCCGGGGATCGTTGGAGCAGGAGCTGGCTAAACGGGAGCAGAAGCTTCAGCAGCAGGAACAAACGCTAGAGGAACTACAGAAGCAACAGGTGAGAGAAACAGAGTGACACAGACACATCACCCTAAATGACTTGATGTGATTAAGCTAATTGAATCTATCTTGTGCTACCTTCAGGGTCAAGTTAAGGAGGCACTGGAGAAGGAGAAGAGTCAAGTGGAGGAGATGAACAAAGCCAAGAGTGCCCTGGAAAAGAATAACAGCAGGCTGATGTCTGAACTAAAAGCACTGACGGAGAAGAGCGAGAAGGTCAGTCACTTTAAAAGAAGCTAACGCTAAAGCTAACATTTGTATTAGTTTCAAAGGGGATCAGCTGGCCGGACTCGGCTTCAGAGGTGTGACAGCTCAAGCTAGTGGCTGTTTTTGTCGACTACTGGCTTCAATGACCTGCTTCCCATGCTTGTGTCTTTATGTAAACAGCTTTAGAGAAACTTCAGGTCATCAGGCCACATTCTTCAGTTTGGCTGAGAATTTACATGAGCCTGGATTTTTTTTTTTCCAGACCTTTAAAGCACCTTAGAATTAGGTTGTCAAAGTTAAACCCTGCCTAACTTCTTAGCTTTACCAATTGATTGATCCTTTTAAAAAGAATTGAGCCACTTCTCTGTTGTTTTTGTTTTCAGGAGCTGGGCGAGCTGCAGGAAGCCAAACAGCTGCTGATCCAGCAGAAGCTGGAGCTGCAGAGTCAGGTGGAGGCAGCACAGAAGAGCGCGGAGCAGGAGAAGAAAGAGCACCAGGCCACCAGGGACAGCAGGAGCCAGAGAGAGGAGCAGCTCAGTGCCAAAACAAAGCAGTTGGAGGATCAGCTGGTAGGCCAAAATCCACCAAATAATTCCTAACTAGTGGATTAAACATCGTCCCCTTTGTGACGTGATGCTGTCACAGTTTGCAGAGAAGCGGGTCAGAGAGGAGCAGGTGAAGCGCGGGGAGGAGGCCGAGGCTAAGATGGGTGTGCAGGTGACGGCTCTGAACGAAAACGTGGCCACGCTGAAGAGGGAGTGGCAGGGCAGCCAGCGGAGAGTGGGCGAGCTGGAGAAGCAGACGGACGAGCTCAGGGGAGAGATCGCCGTGCTGGAGGCCACCGTGCAGAACAACCAGGACGAGAGGCGGGCCCTGCTGGAAAGGTGACAGGATCAGTCTTTTGTGTGTGTTTTGCTATTTTTGACAACGTGTCACCATGCATGTGATGTGTTTCTGTTTTAGGAAGCATTAATTACACAGCACAAGATTTACTTTTTAATCCTAATCATTAAGACGTTCATACATAGATATTTCCTCTGCTGCTGCTTCATTCCTGTTCTTAATTTATAAAGACCTGCATTTCCTGCAGGCACAATCATTTCAAATGAATTTACCATGCAACTTCATTAAAAGATGATGAGCCATCACGACACCCACAAAGAGAAACGAGGCAGTTTTAAAGTCACAGAGCAAGAAACAAATCCATCAGGACAAAACGCAGCTGAACATGGAGATCTCCAGGAATGTGACTCAGCAGGTTCAATTCATCTCTAAAGTTATCTTACTACACTTAACATACAGAGCATACTCATTACCCAACATGACTCCACCACGAGCAGGAAGCTGACACACTTACTAACAGTCAGAAACCTTTGTGGACGTCAGTATTAGGGGAGCAGAAATCCAAAATGTTCTCTAATCGATGACTCTTCCCTTTGTTAAAGCGAGTACTCGAGTAATCGTTTTGTAGTTCTTCTTTTTCTGTGATTCTTTTCCTGCACGGGAGGCCCCGCCCCCAACTATGACACGATGCTGACTGTATCTATTGATTAATTTGAATCTTCAGGATTTTAATAATTGTTAGTTATAGGTCTTTGTATTAACATTCAAATATGACATTTCTTACTTCAACAGACAACAAACCTCAAATAAACCTTCACACAGACGTGTTCTGAGCGTTTTAACACTTGATTATAATCAGAGCAGTGAGTGTGGCGAGCGGACGTGCAGACATCAATGCACTCATCGCACGTTGAAGCAGTTTTGACAGAAACATTGTGTTAACAAAGACTACAGTCTGCAGGGTAGAGCACACTTTACTCAGGTGAATGAAGTTACAATAGAACAGGTGAACTGTTTCATCTTTCTCCTCTGTGAGTAATGACACACTCGCTCAATCTCGCTCATCCGTCCGCTATGAGCTCTCTCTCCCTATGAGGTC